TAGAATCTACTGGTCTATGTATCATGTTTAAAGAAATCACATCATTAATATCACAATGATCTTTTCAGAACACTCTTTAAAGCTATCAAAGCATGTGGCAGTGAATGGAAGTTTTCCAAATTCTAAGTTACACTTGAAAACTTACATTTTATCACTGGGCAACAACACTGCCAGCTGTTTTCCATGAAATGACAACTCATTTTACATGGCCAGAATTACTGATACCAAAACTGGACAAAAGCAGTATAAGAAGACTACAGACCACTTTCTGTCATAAACACAGGTGCAAAAATGCTCGACAAAATATTAGAAAATCAAGGCCAGCAGCATAAACAGACTAATACACACAAGCAAATGAGGCTTACTCTGGGAATGCAAGCTCATTCAGTATTTTTTTTTTTTTGTAATCAATATAATCCCTCAGACAAAAGAAGGAAAACCACATGGTCATATTAAATGACACAGAAAAAACATTTGAGAAAATTCAACACCATTCTTGATTTAGACAATTATCAGTAAACTTTTAAACAACTCTTAGTAAACTTTTAAGAGAAGGGAGCTTCATCAACCTGATACAGGGCATTTACAAAAACCCATAGCTAACCTCACACTTTATGTTGAAAGCCTGAATGCTTTCTAAAACCAGGGAGAAGACAAGAATCTCAGGCAATCTGCACAAAAGCTCCTAGAAATAATGAGTAAATTGAGGCCACAGAAGGTCAACATATAAAAGTCAATCATATTTCTATATACTAGCAATAAAAAAACTAGAAACAAAAACTTTTTAAACACATTATTTGCAATAGTACCAGAAAAGGGGGAATAACAGAACATTAAGGATCTGTATGCTGAAAACCATACAATGTGAAAGAGGTAGGTAAATGGAGCAGATTACATCTGCGAGTTTTAAGACTCAATACAGTTAAGAACATAAATTCTCTCCAAACTGACCCATAGGTTGAATGCAATTCCAATAAAAATCTCAGCAGGTGTAAAGTTAAGTAGTTCATTAGATGTTTTTCTTGAGGTAGGCTTGTATTGCTATAAACCTACCTCTTAGCACTGCTTTTATTGAATCCCATAGGTTTTGGCTTGTCGTGTTTTCATTTTCATTTGTTTCTATGCATATTTTGATTTCCTTTTTTATTTCTTCTGTGATCTGCTGGTTATTCAGAAGCATGCTGTTTAGTCTCCATATGTTTGTGTTTTTTATAGTTTTTTCCCTGTAGTTGACATCTAATCTTACCACACTGTGAGTGAAAGAGAAACACCAATACAGTATATTAATGCATATATATGGAATTTAGAAAGATGTTAATGATGATCCTATATGCAAGGCAGCAAAAGAGACACAGATGTAAGGAACAGACTTTTGGACTATGTGGGAGAAGGCAAGGGTGGGATGCTATGAGAGAATAGCCTTGAAACATGTATATCACCATATGTAAAATAGATGATCAGTGCAAGTTCGACGCATGAAGCGGAGCACTCAAAGCCAGTGATCTGGGACAACCCAGAGGGATGGAGTGGGGAGCGGGGTGGGAGGGGGGTTCAGGACAGGGGAACATATGTGCACCCACGACTGATTCATGTCGATGTATGGCCAAAACCACAGTATTGTAATTACCCTCCAGTTAATTTATTACTTAAAAAAATCTCAGCAGGGTTTCTTGTAGATATAGACAAGCTTATTCTAAAATTTATATTAAAAAAATAAGAACCTAGAACAGAAAAAACAACTTTGAAAAAGAACAAACTTGGAGGACTCAAACTATCCAATTTTAAGACTCACTACAAAGCTACACCACTTTAATTCCCCAGCAGCATGTGAGACAGCCATGTTCATGACGCTATTCATATCAGCTATGAGCTATAATAAGCTTATACCCTTTCAGGTCAACTTCTGTTCATTCAAAAAATAACCTGTGATAAGCAAAGCTTTCTGGATTTCTCGACTGCAGATAAGTAACTGTGGACTGTAGGAGCCAGTCCCAATCAAGATGGGCAAAAGCACAAGAGAGAGAGGTCCTTTACCTGAGAAAGCCCCCCACCCCCATAAGACAGGAGGCTTACACTTTCAAGGGCAGCTGCTGGGAGAAGGCCCTAAGAGGGCAGGGCCTGAAACACACACACACACACACACACACACGCACANGGCATGCGCACACACGCGCACGCACACACACACACACACGGAAGGCCCTAACACACACACACACACACACACACGAGGGGGCATGCGCACACACACGCACGCGCGCACACACACACACACGGAAGGCCCTAAGAGGACAGACACACACACACAACACACACGGCCCCAAGAGGGGGCGCGCGCGCGCACACACACACACACATACATACATACACACACAGCCCTAAGAGGGCGGGACACACACACAAGCACACCCCCAAGACAGAAGCTTAGTTTTCTGTGGTACCAGAGTAGCAATGAAGTGGGTCCTGGATGCCTGGCAAAAGCAAATGCAAAGATACTCACAAAGAACCCAATTTAATCAGAGTCCCTGAAGAATTACCAAAGAGAAAATTCAAAGACATATGTATTCACAGCCAAAACCCACTAAAACCACAGCCTACCAGAAGTGTGAACCTGCAGAAACAAACCCTGAATCAGATACACAAAAGCTATAGGCACTGGGGTTATGAGATACTGAATACAGTGTTTAATAAATTTAAATAAATAAAAAATGGAGTCAAAAGTAAGACAAAGGGATAAAGGAACACGAAACTAAAAAATGACCAGGCAAACCTGAAGAAAAATATTTCTAGAAATGAAAGAATTTACTAACTTTTAGATTAAAATAACATGTTAAAAGATTGATTTAATAGCAGTTTAGATCCATTTTAAGAATCAACGAATTAAAATATCTCAAGATGTCACCACCAAACTGAAAAAGCTATATACTACACAATTCTAAGTATGTGACATTCCAGAAAACGCAAAACTATGGAGACAGGAAAAAGATTAGTGGTGGCCAGAGTGAAATGAGTGGGTGTACAGAGATAAACTGGTAGAGCACAGAGGTTTTTAGGGCAGTGAAAATGCTCTGCCTGGTATCACAATGATGGTTACAAGTGGTTATACACTTCCCCAAACTCACAGAACATGTAACACCAGGCGTGAACCTGAAAGTAAACTTTGGGTAATTGTGACGCCCTCAGGTAATTTCACTGGTTGTAACAAGTGTTTCCCTCTGGAGGGGATGTTGATAATGGGGAAGGCGATGCATGTGCAGGGGCGAAGGGTGTATAGAAAACACCTGTACCTTCCCCTCAATTTTGCTATGAACCTTAAAAAAAAAAAAACTGCCTTCGTAACGTCTTAGTCGGAAAAAAATAAATAAAAAAGCACACAAGGAAAAATCAAAAAAGGAATGTTGACTTGGACCTTTGAAAAACAAAGAGAAGATAAGAGAGAAGATGATGAGCATGGGTTGGAAGCTGTCTAATCAGAATTCCAAGAGGTGATAATTGAAAAATGAAGAGTGTGTAGCTTTCAAGCTAACAAGAGAAGAAAAAAGAAAGGAGGAGCTGCAGTCCAGACGCCAGAACTTCAAGCGCAGGTCCTGCCTGGTGTATGACCTGACAGGCTCCCCGACCTTCCCAAGACACGACTTCCTCAGATGTAAAATGGGGTGACTGCCTACCTCACAGGGCTGCTGTGACTACTCCATGAAATTCAAATACAGCCCCTGACACAGAACCTGATTAATGCTGCCTGCTGTCAATTAACAAATAACTTTGCCTGCAAAGTTCAGTAAAAGAGCAAGAAAACTAAGACTGAGGCTGCCATTAGCCTTTCTGGATAAGGATTTGATTTCAAAATCTGCGAGGACCCTGGGCCCTTCTTCATTTGTTAATTATTTCTATTTCTCAGCGGGTTGGCTCTTCTGTTCTTTTTTTATACACAATCCTATTCTAAAACTCCCAAATTTGGGAGAAAATTACTCTAATCCTTTTAATCCCCATTCAAGTTCCACTTTGTAAGTAGATTTTTAAAAATATATATATATATTTATTTTTATTTATTTGGCTCCAACAGATCTTATTGTGGAATGTGGGATCTTTAGCTCCTCAACCAGGGATCAGACCCAGGCCTCCTACATTTGGAGTCTGCAATCTTAGCCACTGGACCACCAAGGAAGCCCATAAATAGACAGTAAAGACAAACAAAAACAGGATCAAGGGACAACACCACACACTTACTTTTCATTAATTTTCCTGATAATTCCTTCAGTGGAGAAGATGGACTACTTCTACTGGCTACCATGAGCCTGGAGGACTCCTGGGTTTCCAGGGAGCCCCGATGAATTCCTGTCCTGGCTGTCTCTAGGTGGAGAGAATGGGCACTGTCACTCTCCTGGGAAAGCAAGTGGTTCTGGGTGTTGCTAGTTCTATTATTCAAGTCAATTCCTTCCAGATGGGCTGAGCCAGAATCCTCCAACCTCCTGTTAAGAGACTCGGTTACAAAAGCTGCTGTAGTTTCGGGCTTTTTAGATGGAGAGACAGGTTCAGCCAATGAGCTCTGCTTCACTGTGTTCAGACTGTGTGCTCTTATTCGGGACCAAGTTGTGGAGTGGAAACTTTCAGCCTCCAACCAAAACTTAACCAAATGCTCCATTCTCCGAAGTTCCATGAATTGAATGAAGTAAGGGAGGACCACGGTGTCATGCAAGACTTGCTCAAGGGTTTTTGAAAGACTTGATTTGGCCTCCTGAGTCTGGTAGTCCAGACAAGATCTGCCTAAAAGAAGAAAAGAGTTAGCAGTTCAATAACAGATAACAACCGCTGCTGCCGCTGCTGCTAAGTCACTTCAGTTGTGTCTGACTCTGTGTGACCCCATAGATGGCAGCCCACCAGGCTCTGCCATTCCTGGGATTCTCCAGGCGAGAGTACTGGAGAGGGGTGCCACTGCTATATATATATATATTTATTTTTATTTATTTGGCTCCAACAGATCTTATTGTGGAATGTGGGATCTTTAGCTCCTCAACCAGGGATCAGACCCAGGCCTCCTACATTTGGAGTCTGCAATCTTAGCCACTGGACCACCAAGGAAGCCCATAAATAGACAGTAAAGACAAACAAAAACAGGATCAAGGGACAACACCACACACTTACTTTTCATTAATTTTCCTGATAATTCCTTCAGTGGAGAAGATGGACTACTTCTACTGGCTACCATGAGCCTGGAGGACTCCTGGGTTTCCAGGGAGCCCCGATGAGTTCCTGTCCTGGCTGTCTCTAGGTGGAGAGAATGGGCACTGTCACTCTCCTGGGAAAGCAAGTGGTTCTGGGTGTTGCTAGTTCTATTATTCAAGTCAATTCCTTCCAGATGGGCTGAGCCAGAATCCTCCAACCTCCTGTTAAGAGACTCGGTTACAAAAGCTGCTGTAGTTTCGGGCTTTTTAGATGGAGAGACAGGTTCAGCCAATGAGCTCTGCTTCACTGTGTTCAGACTGTGTGCTCTTATTCGGGACCAAGTTGTGGAGTGGAAACTTTCAGCCTCCAACCAAAACTTAACCAAATGCTCCATTCTCCGAAGTTCCATGAATTGAATGAAGTAAGGGAGGACCACGGTGTCATGCAAGACTTGCTCAAGGGTTTTTGAAAGACTTGATTTGGCCTCCTGAGTCTGGTAGTCCAGACAAGATCTGCCTAAAAGAAGAAAAGAGTTAGCAGTTCAATAACAGATAACAACCGCTGCTGCCGCTGCTGCTAAGTCACTTCAGTTGTGTCTGACTCTGTGTGACCCCATAGATGGCAGCCCACCAGGCTCTGCCATTCCTGGGATTCTCCAGGCGAGAGTACTGGAGAGGGGTGCCACTGCATTCTCCGAACAACCGCTAAAGCTTATTTAAATTATTAGAAGGGTCTTTGTTAATTAATCCTCGAATCTCTTTTCATGGCAATTCAAATCATGTAAATTCTTAAGGGAAAAAAAATCTTTCAATACCAGTTCCAAAGGAAAAAAAGACCAATAAAAATATTTTAAAAGTTCAACCTCATTAAAAGTCTCAAAAAAGCAAATTAATACATACCATATTTGCCCATCAAACTGAAAGATGGGTTTAAAAAAAATAACAAGAACTAACAAAGGCACAGCAAAACAGATGATGAAAAATGTAAAATAACAAAACCTTTTTGGAGAAACAGACAGCAAAGCCTTAGCCATCAGGGTAATTTTTTTTTTTTTTTCATCAGGGCAATTTTCAATCCAGTAACTCTATTTCTAGGACCTTATCCTGAGGAAAAATTGTGGATATAACTTGAAAGATGTTATGAACTCTTAGTCTCATTTGTAACAGAATAGTTAGATTTGGGATTTTATCTTGAAAAATAAAACCAAACAATAAAACCAAAAGTTTATTTCACATTTAACTAAATTTAGGTTATGACTATAAACACAAGCTAATTATTAGAAGACAGAAAAAACTAAGAAAATACTTTCACAGCATGACACAGGGAGACTCATTTTTATAAAATTAACCGAGGGCCTCATCGGCTCTTCAAAAGGGCTTTTCTTCACCCTTGGTTGTTTCTTCTGAAGCACTTCATGTACCACCCCTGCAGTCCTGACTTCAGTGTTAACTAGTCCATTGTGTCAACACTTCTTTAATGAACTTCAGGAAATCTCGAGCCTCTGTAAGACTTAACTTTAAGTACCCTTTACCCAGTCTTGGAGAAGGAAATGGCAATCCACTCCAGTATTCTTGCCTAGAGAATTCCATGGACAGAGAAGCCTGGCGGGCTGCAGTCCGTGGGGTCGCAAAGAGTTGGACATGACTGAGTGACTAACATGCACATACCCAGTCTCCCCTACGGTATCAGGATCACACAAAGACACTGACACAATCCATCCATCTTATCCAGACTTCCCCAGTTTCACCAGTACTCACTGTATGTGCATTTAGTTCTCTGTGTTTCTATCATGTGAGTAGACTTATATAAACATCAAGCCAGAGAACAGCTCCAGTGACACAAGGATCTCTCGTCAGGCCTTTTATAATCAGCCGCCATCCCTAACCATTGGCCAACACTCATCGATCTATTCTTCATGTCTATCATTTTGTCATTTCAAGAATGGAATAACACTTGTCTCTCAAAATAATTCCTCTGAGATTCATCCAAGCTGCTATGTGTAAACAGGAGTGGCTATTTCTCTGCATCTACATTAACATTCCAATTATCAAGCTTTAAATACTTGCTAATGTGTTGGGAGAACATGAATTCATTATTTTAATTCACATTGCACTGAGTATTAGTGCAGTAAGCCCTCCTTTTCACACACTCCGTGGTCAAATGTATTTCTTCTTCTGGAAATGGCCCATTATTCTACTGGGCATACTTTTTATATTTACAGAAGAACAACATGGAGCCATTCATTACACTAGCTGTTAGTCCAATTTAAACATTTTTTTTCAAAGGGCCAGCCAATAACATGGGTCAGTATCCTCTGGCAGGAACTTCGCACTTTATACTCAAATCCTTCCTCCTAGAAGTTAACAAAAACTGAGAGTCACTCACCCAGGTCCCCAAAGTGAGCGGCCTCCATGTGGCTGGGCTGTTTCTTAAGTGTTGCAGTCCTGCTACTTGAAAAGGAGTCCATGTTGGCAGAAATGGCATTGATTGCAACGTGACTTGGTCCCGCAGCCTCCAGCAAGGCATGATTTTTAGTGCTTTTTTGTGGGGAATGTACGGATATTGAAGCTATAATTTTTCAAAAAATTGTTAAAAATTAAATACAATTTGATAGCCTAAAACTATCTCCTAAAAGGGCTTTAAGGAACTTTAAAAATTAGATTTTGTAACACCTCTCTTGAGTAAGCACACACACGCAACATAAAATTCTTATGGAAAAGGTAAATTAACCAAGCAGCAGAAAACTGGAAAGAGATTCCCTATTACTTATATATAACTCTCAAAATACTGTGCCAAAAGTAGAACTTAGAAGAGAGATCTTTGAGAAAGTTCTGAGAACCTCTAGTAAAGAAAGTACCAAAGGCAGCAAACATCCCAAAATATGGACCTTTTGCAATTTCCTAATCCGAGCTAGCTGGCAAGTGAGAAATTAAATTCCAAAATAAAATTTTAGGTTATCAAAAGAATTAGAACAATACTCTTCAGTATTGCTTATTTTATTTTTTAACTGAGTAACACAATTCTGTTTATTTTACTTTTTAACTGAGTAACAAAATAAGTATGCTTATTTTACTTTTTACTGATTAACAAAATTTTTACTTAACTGATTAACAAAATTTCACCATCTAATAAAAACTGATCAAAGTTAAAGTTGCTTAAAGATAAAGCACACTTAAAAATTCACAAAATTTATTTTCTTTCATAGCCTAAAGAAATAATAATATCCTGTTGACTTCAGGATAAACAGGAATTCATCAAATTCACATGGTCAAAGTAACCCTATGAATTCATTGCTACGGTTGAATTAAAATTCCACTCATCCCACTTGTTCCACACAAATATCAAAAGACTCTCATGAAAGGTCTTTAAGAGGTTTTGGTTTAGTGCACTGAACCAACACGGAATCCACCTGACTTTAAATGATCAGAAACAAGCAGAGAATAAGGCTGTGAGGTAGCCTACTTATTCCCTAATCTTACAAACCTCTTAAGTTATAATCAGTGTCCCTCTCAAAAATTGAACAAGTGGAGTTAATACTCAATGCTAGCCACACAACATGCAAATATTTAAAAGAAAAATCTAAAGAAGTAGCAATCTACAGTATTTGTGTAAATAAATTACATCTATGAAAATTATATGCCATGGACATGGAAGTAATTTTCATTACAATTTTCCCATTCCAAAATTTTTGTACATTGACATAATGAAATCAGTCACAACTACAGCAGAAATTACAGTCTAAAAAAAGCAGGCTCTTACCTACAAATAAGGACAATATATTGATTCCAATAATGAACTCTGAATAAATTTTAAGTTAGGGCCATTCGTTCAAAGTAATAAAGAAGGGAAAACAGTGAGCATCCAGATCCCAGATAAACCTCAGAAAACCAAGCTTTATAAGTCAGTGGTCAGACTGCTCAGTAAAGAGTATTTTCTGCTTTTAGTTTTTTAGAATAAAGTCAATCAATTGCTTTTAGAGAATCACTGAAATGTGTGATTAGCAAGGAGGACATTGGTTCCCTGGAATCACCAAGACAGCCAATGAATGCTCAGTAAAAGCCTAGCATATGTTGGGTGTTAAAAGATACATCAATAAGTCACAACCATGAGTAATTGTAAAAGAAGGCAGAGATGATAAACAAGGGAGAACGCAACATGATTAAAGAGCTCATAACTGTGAAGCGCTGACTCACCTTTGACTGACTTGACATCTGGGGTCTTCTCCTGCTCTTTGCTCTTCACTGCAAGAGAGGAGGGCAGCATGATCAACTTCTTCAGCCAAATGCCTCCTCCATACACTGTAAAACTCAGGTCAGCTCTATTCCAATAGGTGAGCATGTTCAAAGTTTTACACAAAAGGGCAAGCCGCCCTGGAGCAGGGCAGGGCAGCTGTCAGGGGGTTTCTCAGAGAAGCGCCCTCTGAATGGCACTTGGTCAAGAAGGCTGAGTGCTTAAGGTGAGATGAGGTCAGGACACCTAGGTTCAAATTTGAGCTCTCCCATGTGATCCTGAACCAGTTACTTTAATTCTCAGGATCTCAATTTCCTTGATTTACAAAACTTGGTCATTCTTATGAGCTAATAAAGAGTCATTTCAACAGGCAGGATTTCAACCTTGGTCTGTGGAACCAGAGAAATCACTCTTCTACCCTTGGTTAAAAGCCTGCAGAATGACTGTGTGATTAAGATAACGTGTGTAAATGAATGTCTCAGAGGCACCTCCCACCCCATACACTAGAACTCAACACGTACTTTTCCAGCAACGTGTCTCAGTACCCAGCCCTGTGCTGGGATGACAGGTGTTTGCAGCCGCCTCAGCTGCATCGGCCAACTGACTTCATCTCCCTCTTGAAACATGAATTTGGCATGGCTTCCGTGAAACCCCACTCCTCGTTTTCCAGGGGCTCCTTCTCAGCTTATCCCTGGCCGACTTCTCCTCTGCCAGCTGGGAGTTTCTCAGGGACAAGATTGGTTCCCTTTCTCTCCACTGCATGTACATATGTACTTCCTTGCTGATCTCAGCTATTCTTCAGGCTTTCAATACCACAGACATGCCGTAACTCCCAAAGTACTCGCTCTAGTCTGAGTACTTTTTGATCTCAAATTCATAGTTTACTAACTTTCTGCCATCTTTCATAATCCCACTGCCTAAATGGGATGTACCATCTTCCCCCAAACCTGCTCCTAAGTCAATCTTTTTCTCCTCTCATAAATGTTTCACTGCCCACTAGCTTCTCAGGCCAAAACTCCGGGAGTCATCTTCCACACTGTCTCTCAAGCACCTCCAAACCACTTCTAAGAACAACGGGTTCCACCACCAAGTACCTTAGAGGTGTATTTTATTGTATGCAAACTTTAAATTTTAATGTAGTCAAACTACATTGATTAAATTTTCCTATGTCTTATTTCTTACCCCTATATTTTCTTCTATATGATTTCAAACTTTGCTTTTTCAAATTCTGGGCTCCAACTCACCTGGCATTTATTTCTGTATTATCAGGGATAGCAAACTACAGCCCAAGGGCCAAGTCCAGCCCACCACCAGTTTTTCATAGTGTTTCTGTATAGTTTATGGCTACAAGGATAGAGGAGAGTGAGGTGGACCAAATAGCCTTCAAAGCTTAAAATATTTACTGTTTTTTTACAGAAAAAGTTTGCTGACCCCCTGATGTACATAATGAGGAAGTCTTAATTTTTCTTTTCTTTTTTTTGGGCCAGCGGGATAATGAACACAACTTACTGATTAGTCCAATCTTTCCCAAATGAATAGGAACTCTTTATATACTACGTTCCCATACATACGTGGGTCTGTTTCTGGGCCTACTACTGTAATTACTAACTATGTAATAGGCTCTGGCAGAGCCAAGCCCTCTATCATATTCTTTTTTTCAAAACTATCTTTCATATTATCTGTAGGACCAACTTGTCCTGATCCTAAAACCCTCATGGTAATTTCTTTTTAAACATTAAGCATTGACTTGATCAATTTGGGAGAGAGTTCACGTCTTTCTGGTATTGAGTCTTTCTATTCATGAACATAGTATACCTCTATTTATTTGGGTCTCCTTTTAGGTCCACTTATATTTTGTAAACTCCATAGAGATTTCAGTTTTTTATTTTTAATGGCTACAGGGATACAACTGAGTTTCAAATACTTATTCTAATGGTATATGTGTAAATTTTCTTAAACTTTCTCTGTACACAATCATATTGTCTGTGAATAATGACTCTGGTTCCCTTTCCCTCACAAAACTTTTCTATTCTTTTTCATGTGTGCTATAGTGAAGACTATGTTAGTTTTCTTTTTGTTTGTATAACCCTGATCTATATTCTCATCCTTTTAACTTTCCTATGCTCTTTTTAACGTTTAAACAGCATAGATTAGGAAACCAATCTGAAGACAACCATTTCTTTATTGTCTGGGTCTGTTTTTGTCACATTTCTGTTTATTGTGATTACTGTTCTTTATTTCCAAAGCAGAATGTTCTTAAAACTCAATTACAACTACACACGTGTTGACTTCTCCTAGTAATTCTGTTGATTTTACTTTATATATTTTGAGACTGATTTTAGGTGCAAACCAGTTCAGAATTTTATCTCCCTAGTACTCTACTCATTTTACCATACTTCACGGACTTTTTTTTCCAACCCTACTAGTATTTTATGCTTTGAAGTATTTCAGCTACTTCACAAGCTTTCTTCTCTTTGCATCCATTTATTTTCAATTTCTCTGTCTTTATGTTTTTGCTGTGTTTCTGGTAAATAGCTGGATTTTCGATTATTATCCAACCCAAGTCATTACTTTTTGTCCACCTTTCGATGGACTTTTACTAGATTTTTATTTACATTTACTGTCGTTTATTTCTACCACCTTATTTCACACTACTGACTCTTCCTGTATTTTTAAAAATTATTATGAAATATTTAGAACAGAGGCAAGACACTTAGGTTTAGCAAAACTTAACATTATACCATATTTGCTTTGGAAAAATTTTTAAAGGAAATAAAACATTGCGGGTACAACTAAAGTCCCTCTGTAACCTCATTCCCCTTCTCCATAGAGAAACAATTTCAGAAAGTGAATGCTTAAGGTTTCCATCCACACTTTTACTATTTAACATACTTATGCATTCATAAGCAATATATAGCATTGTTTGAAGGTTTTAAACAAGTGGTTGTACCAATTGCCATTTCCAGCAGCAGTATATCCTAATTAAATCTTGATACAGTCAGGCTTTAATGTCAACTCCTAAGTCTTTTCAAGAACTTCACTCCTGCAAGTAACATTTCTTTTCTGTATCATTTTCTCTCTCTCTACTGAGTTCTTTCTATCAGCAGACAAACAAGCTTAGCATCTTTTATTTTAAAAATAACAACAAAAAACACCCCTTACCCTAAAGGCTCCTTGCAGTTATTGGCCTTGTTTTTCCCTCTTAACTGCAAATTTTCTTTGTTATTCTTTTTACTTTCCCCACTTCACATTCTCCCTTCAACCTGTTCCACTGACACTACATATAAAAGTGGTCAATTACTTCCATGTTATCAAAGTGAACAGCTATGTCTATTTACCTCAACCTTGTAAGTGACATTAAATACAATACTCCCTACTTTTTGAAGTACTATCTTCTCTTAGCTTTCAAGACACTCCACTCCTGTATCACTTGGCATTTTCTTTTCGAGTCTTCTTTGCCAATGGCTCATGTTCCTCAACTTAACTTCTAAAAGCTCAATTAACTCCAGCACTCTCTCTTTGTCTACAGTATGGCAGGTTATGCTACCTCACCACTGAACTCATTCTCCCCTTCTTAGCAAGAGGGTCGTAGCCTGGCACACAGCTGGCTAGCTTCTCTCCATTTCCCAAAGCCCTTAAGTTAGCTGGGACCACATGACTAGGTTCTCAGCAATTAAATGTGAACAGGAGCAGTATGTGCCATTTCTGGCCAAAGCTTCTCTCTTCCCTTACCATGGGTCAGAAAGCTGACAGAAGGGACTATGACTTGGCTTTATAACATGCAATAAAGCTTAAGAGAAAGAGGAATAAGACAATAGTAGGAAAATGATCCCTGAATGATCATGAAGGAAAGCCACCTGATGACCAGGGACCTGGACTGTTACACAAGAGAGAAATAAAGGCCTATCTTGTTTGAGCCATTGTTACTCTGTGTCTCTCTGTCATGGAAGCTTAGCCTTTCAACGTAACTAATTCATATATTGTATGTCTTCCCTAGATGATGTCACCCAGTCCTATGTCTTTAATTATTATTTATGCAAAATACTTTTAAATTCAGATAGAGAACTCAAGTTCTGAGCTCTTTCCTGAACTACAGACTAGTACATCCAACTGCCTCCTTGGCAGATCCACATGGACTCACAACCACCGAAGGAGAACTGTGGATTCTTCCTACCCCAAACTCTCAGTTTTCCACAGCTTTCCCAGTTTTCCTTCACTCCAGTCACTTACTCAAGCCATGTTTTCTCTAACTCCAAGACAACCCCATTGCCCTCTACTCCCAGTAAACTGCAGCCTTCTCTCCGTCCTTGAACAAAGCCAGCTCATTCCTACCTCAGGACATTTGTACTACCAGTTCCCTCCAGCAAGAATACAGTTCCTTTCACCTTTTCAAGGCTGGCTCTTTCCTCATTGAGACCTCAGTTTAAATACCATCTTCCTAGACAAGCCTTCCCTCTCTATCCAAATACAAACTGCCATCTGCTAAGCTGCTCCTATATCACTGTTTAAATTCTCTGCACAACACTTATTACCTTCTGGAATTTTTCTCATTTTCATTCACCTACTCAACAGATATTTACTAAATTCCTAACTATATCCCAAGCACTGATCAGGACTTGAAGATACGGCCATGAACAAACATAAGCTTCCTTCCTAACAAAACACATGAGTCAGCAGATGGTGATAAACACTGCAGAAAAAAAATAAAAAAGCAGGGCCACAGTAAGGGAGTGCAGGGGCTGGGGGCTGCAATCTTCAGCAGGCTGGTCAGAGAACCCTTCACTAAGATGTCAATTAATCAAAACCCTGGAGGAGAAGGGGGAAGAAAATAGGCTTGCATCTGTAAGAAGAGGTTTCCAGCCAGAGGGAACAAGTGCAAAGGCCCTGAGGTGGGAATCTATTTGACAACAAGGTGGCCAACACACAAGGAAGAGTGCTGGAGAAAGGGAACAGATGAAAACAGAGGAGAAACAGGACGTAGATTATGTAGGGCCATATACAGGAAACCACTGAGGGCATCTGAACAGAGGTGTGGCATAATGCAGTTTGAAAACACACCAGGGGAATCAAAAGTGGAGGAAGGGAAACCAAATTGAAGCCTAATGCAAAATAACACTGTTTCCTTGATCGTCATAAAATCGGCTTCATCTTGACACTTAAGCTGAGATCTGAATGACATCCCCTCAGAGGACTTCATTAACCACCCAAACTAAATAGAGATGCCAGGGTGTTCACAGTCAGGGATGGTAAGAAGTGACTGGATTTGAGCTATATTCTGGGGTGAACCTAACAGATGTACTGATGGATCAGACATACAGTAGGAGAGAAAGAGGTTGAAAAAAGTACTAAAGTTTTAGCCTGAGCAATTAAAAGACCAGAAATGCAATCTATCAAGATACTGAAAAACAGATGAAGGAAGGTTAAATCTAAAGTGAAATTTTAGATACAGTAAGTTGTTTATTAGTTGACCTCCTAGACATCTATTGTTGTTTGGTGGTGTTGTTTAGTCGCTTGGTCATGTCTGACTCTTTGCAACCCCAAGGACTGTAGCCCACCAGGCTCCCCTGTCCATGAGATTCCCCAGGCAAGAATACTGGCGTTGGTTGCCATTTCCTCCTCCAGGGGATCTTCCTGACCCAGGGATTGAAGCCATATCTCCTGCACTGCAGGTGGATTCTTTACTGCTGAGCCACCTGGGAAGCCCAGACATTTATGCATAGAGGTAAAAAGTGGACCAACAGTTGGATATGGAGTCTAGATTCAGGGAAGAGAATCCAAGCTGGAGACATAATTCTGGGAGTCATCGGCAGATAGGTGGTATTTAAAAATGGTATTTAGAAACTGGATGGGAGCTCTAAATAGGACCATCTCCAGTTTCTATTCTTGCTACATCCAGTCTCCAAAAAACATCTAGAATGATCTTTTCAAAGCAAAATGAGATCAAATCACTCCTCTTTAAAATTTTAAAATATTGTCTCTGCACTTGGAATAACACCTTGCCGTGACCTACAAAGCTCTGAATCATCTGATCTTTGTGTACCTCTCAGAACCGCAGTCACAGTGGGCTTCTTTTCTCTCTTGAAGGACACCAAACTCTTACGACCCAGCCTTTGAACACTATTCCCTGTGCCTGGAATGCTCTTCCCTGGCCTCTATACATTACCTCTTGTTGTTCTTCAGCTCTAAGTTTCAAGGTCGTCTGCTGAAGCCTTTGACTAACATCAAATCGAAATACGTCTCTTCTTTCAAGCTTTCTCTTTCATAACTCTTTACTCAGTTTGTAAAGAGAGAGAGAGAGAGGTTTATTGTCTACCCCAGCAGACAACAAGCTCCTTGGAAATACGGATTTTGTCTTGTGCAGTGCTCAATACTGAGGGCCTAGCACAGTGCCTGGCAAAGAGCAGACATTCAAAAGTATTGGCTGAATAGACAACAGGCTATGAGCAAAGCAATTTGCCTCATTATGCCATTATACACAGAACACTCCTTATCCAAAAAAAAAAAACCCAACCATTTCAACACTGTCGAACAAATTAGAGAGTTATCAACCATACCAAAGTACCTTACCAACACAGTTTCCTTGTACCATGTTACCACTTTCATTCATTCAGAGCGGTTTTCATTCATTCATCATGGTTTCATTCACTGATCACCTGGCATCAGTTACTAAAACTCCTTGTGTACTTAAAAGGAATTCTTTATAGAGTTGAATGGGGTCTTTAGGAATCACCGAATTCTCAGCTGAGAGGAAAGTGGGTCAACATTTTTCTGTCCCAGATGACAGAGTTAGTAGCAGAGCTGTCACATAAACCCAAGTCTGATTTAGTTCAGTGCTTTCCCCAAACCTGCATTTGTCTGGGAAATTTTCCCTGAAGCAACAAGAATCGATACAAGAATCACTATCATCCCAAAAGACCCACACTAGTCCACCCTGGATACGTATCCGTAACGAAATGCCAAAAACCTTACCCAGACTCAAAAGAAAGTTGCCTCTACTCAAAAAACTGGGCAGCTACTACTATTGAAAACTAGAAATATCAATATAAGCAGTTTGTCTATAAAGTTAGGATTCCAGTAGCAAGTAAACTTGCAAAGTCATCAAAAGGACTCTTCTTCATTAGGGAACTTCTAGCCGTAAGTTAAGTAATGTCATTTTAGGAACAGCAGAATCCCCCTCCCCCCATAAAGGGGAAACTGGAAAAGAGCACTCGTTGAAGAAAACAATTTTTTCACGTGTTGCTTTTAGACACAAACCCCTCGATATTCTGAAAAGTAGGGAGGGCCCGGCTCCCCTCATTCAGCAACCTGCCCGGACTTCCGGGTCCGCAGCAGCCGCCGCGCTAGCCCAAAAGGAGACTCGTCTTCCGGGTGTGGGCCCCGCCGCCTCCTCGAGACGCGCGGGTAGCTCCTGCCGCCATGTTACCAAGCCGCCCGCCCGGAGTTCCGGTCCTTCGCCGCGCGGGGCTTCACGGGAGGCCGCGCGCCGCTCTGGGCCTGCCCGCGCGGTCGCCAGGCGCCTCCCCGCGCCCGCCCTCCGAGCCTCGGGGCTTTCTCCCACCCCCGCCCCCCGCCACGCCTCCTCGCCTCCTCGCCTCCTCCCGCGGCGGGGCCGGCGCCCGCGCCGCCCAAGGGACTCGCGCGCTACCTGCACCCGGCCCTGGACCCCGCGGCTCTCCTGTTCCTGGGCGGTGCGAGAGTGGCCCCTGGAGAGCCCTTGACCCGGCCGAGTGTGACCCGCACCCCGCGCTCTCAGGGATCGGACCCTGGCGTGGATCTCGGGATGCGGACTGGGTCCTGGGATGCGGACTCGAGGCACCACCTGTCCCCGCGACTTCGGCCGTGGAGGAGGTGCGTTGGGCTTATTACAAGACGCGATCGCTGAGAACGCTCAGCTCTGAAAGGACAGCAACATAAAAACCTCGCCAGTATTTACCGGGCGGACTCCAAGGGTCATTCTTCCAGCCTCCTTCAAATGCCATTTTCCTAGGAACCTCTGACCTCCCTCGACCCTAGAAGCAGAGCGAACCTCCCACCCGTGGGTCCTCTCCCACAGGACTGGGAATTCTGCTCGTGTGCGGTAGAGGAGCCTGGCAGGAAGTAGCACATCAATAAATGGGTTTTTCAGTCAGTGAAGTCCATCAAGTGATGGACAGAGCAACGGAGGTCCAGAGAGAAGAGGCAACTGGTCCAAGGTTATTCAGGGTGTGGGTGTTGAGACTATAACCAGAACCCGGGGTCTAGTCACAATATAATCAGAGCAGGTCAATAGATTTGTCTGGGTTTGGTCCCTGGGTGGGGAAAATCCCCTGGAGGAGGGCATGGCAACCCGCTCCAGTATTCTTGCCTGGAGAATCCCATGGACAGAGGAACCAGGCGGGCTACAGTCCGAAGGGTCGCAAAGTTGGACACGACTGAGCGACCAAACCACAGGGGCATGTGCGGTAGCGACGGCGGATATGTATGGAAAGATCACTGTGCGCAGGTGCCAAACCCTCCGGACGCTCGACGACCGTTGGAGAATCTCGGTGGGAGAACCAGGCGCAGAGAGATAACCTGCCCAAGGTCACGGCCTAACCAGAGGCGAAGTGTGTGGGATCTCAGACCTAGAGAGTTGGCTCCAGAGCCAAGGTCAAATCTCTTCCTGGGTAAGGACAGTGTCCAGGCGGGAGCAAGAGGCTGCCGCGGCTCCGGGCGTCCGAGTGTGTCCTCCCTGACCTGAGCAGGTGCTAGCTATGCACCTCTGTCTGACCGCGGAGTCTTCAAGGGGTCCGAGCGGCTCCCCCGCTGGTCAGAAGGGCGCTGACCCTAGCCTGACGCAGGGGAACCACTCTCTAAGGTCTGTGGTGGGTGAAACCCGGGGTCCTGCCCCCTTTTCCGGGAAGGGGAGTTGGGCTGACGTCCAGGGCCAGTGGGGCGGGGGTGGGTCTCTAGGTTCCCTACTTGGTCGGTGTAAGCGGTGAGGGACTTCCAGCAGGAGTCGAGTGCGAGGCGGCTGCGCTCCAAGCAGGGAAGTGCGGCGCCCTCTCTCGGGAGTCCAAATTGAGGAGTGCAAGGCATGCCCCCAATATCTCTGCGAGGGGAGTACGAGGGATGTGGGGGTAGCGCTCCGGTCCCTCTAAATCCCCTTCCTCTTTTCTCCAACTACGCATAGAATCAAAGTAAAGAGCTGAGTCCTACCGCGCCTTCCAGTGTGATATCTGCTCTGGAGGCCCCATCCCACCCCGCCCCAACAGAAATTCTGCCACTTTTATTCCCGGGACCAGAAAGCATCCCTGCTGCTGCTAAGTCACTTCAGTCGTGTCTGACTCTGTGCGGCCCCATGGACTGCAGCCTACCAGGCTCCTCGGACGTCCATGGGATTTTCCAGGCAAGAGTACTGGAGTGGGGTGCCATTGCACCCCACTGGGAAGTCAGTTAATAATACCCGTCGTTATTTATAAAGTGCTTATCATGTGCTCTCAAGGGTCTAAGTGATGTATAATCACAGTCTCACCAATCCTCCTTCTCCCCTAACAAAGACCCTGTGAGGTGGCTACCATAATTACCCCCAATTTACAGAGGATAACTCAGAGGCTCAATGAAACCCACCCAGGATCATAAGGCTAGTAAGGGGTAGGGGTAGGATTTCAGTCACTGTCCCTCTGACTCCAAAACTATTTGCTTGTAGCACTTCCTCCTGTCTCCCCCACACCCCTAATCTGCTGCTAATTCCCATTTATCCCATGTTCTAGTTAAGATGTCTATTTATTGGGCAAGCATAAGGGGATGAATGCTATTTAGCAGAGCAGATGCCTTCTGAATCATCACCCCTTAAAGTGTTTATACGCTTAAGGAAGCTTTAAGGGTATTATCATTTAATCTTCTGGAATATGATGATCCACATAGGAACAGAGTTAAAACAAGAATATAGAAATAAACAAGAAAATTCCAGTGGCCCAAATGCCCAGTTGTGACAAATTGATACTTTGCATTTCTAAGTTAATTTGTTAGAGCCACTTTAATTTACACATAAAACAAATTTAATTTTTGTGAAACAAAATTGAGTTTTACCAGAAGGAATTTCTTTCATTATGTTCCTAATTTTAAGAGAACCCTCACAGGCTTTTTATACCAGTTGTATTAATTATACAAGCCAGTGAGGTAAAATCAGCAAGTTAATTCTCACAAAGCCAGTGCATAAAACCAATCTTCTATGACAAATACTGTTTACAGAGGACTTCCCTGGTGGTCTAGTGGTTAAGAACTCGCCTTCCAATGCAGGGGATGTGGGTCCAATCCCTGGTCAGGGAACTAAGATCCCACTTGCTGCAGTGCAACTAAACCTGCTCAGGGAAAACCCAGCGAAATCAAGAAACAAATACTCTTTACAAATTGAGTGAACTGTGTTCTACAACAAATATTCAAACGCATTTAACTGTCTATATCAAGCACCCTTTGGTTTGATAACTTGCTAGAAGGACTTGCAAAACTCACTGAGAGCTGTTACATACTCATGGGTGTAGCTTATTACTGCTAAAGGATGCATA